GACAGACAGACAGACAGACAGACAGACAGACAGACAGACAGACAGACAGACAGACTGACAATAACTGACCAGCCCAGCCTGTCTGTCCCAGTCAATGAGTAGTCCTTTGCCTGGGTCGTCCTCCACGTACTTGAGAAGAGCCACACTCAACACGCCCCAGGAACCACCTCCGAAGTGGACTGAAAAAAAAATCTGGAGCTGTTCACAATAATATATTTGAGGATGAAGAGGTAAGACTCTGCTTGAATCCACCATTCGGAACTTCTTTGACCCACTGCTTACATTCAGGTCCTCCATTCTCTTTTTCCCCTTATTTCTAAAGTGACGCTTTACGCTAAAGATGCTCTCAGTTTATTTTAACTCTTAGAAGGCACACATTCTGGTAATTCTGTTTCGTCAATTTAAAATTGGAATAAAACATAAAACGTATTTATTCATGCGGATTGTTAAATGTTTATTTTATCTGAAAGTTTAAAAGTCAGGCTATAAGATGTTTACAATGAAATGAGCAAATTTGTGTTTTTAATTTGTGTATGGCAGTATAAAAAGTTCCGCAACATTGTCATTAGTCTGATACTGATCGGGAATAATATTATGTGTAAGTTATATGAATCAGCTTCTACCGAGAGAGAAAACTTCTGTCAATGTGAGAATACGAGAACTATTGCTCAGGCAAACCTGTGTCTATGTGAAAGGGGGGGGGGGAGCAGTGCAGGGATAAGGTGTGCGTGTGTGCATGTGTGTTCGTGTGAGTGCAAAATGTGTGTGTTTGTGTGTGTGTAGTATGTGTGTGTTTGTGCGTGTGTTTGTGCGCTTGTTTAGGTGTGGCTAAGGCTGTGAGTGGGAGTGTGCAAGAAAGATTGCGCACGCATGTGCATATAATAATATGTGTAAAGGGGTGTGTGTGTGTGTGTGTGTGTGTGTGTGTGTGTGTGTGTGTGTGTGTGTGTGTGTGTGTGTGTGTGTGTGTGTATGTTTGTGGCTATATGCGTCAAAGTATTAATGACGTACACATGCATGCCACTACCTTAGAATTACAAAGTTCTATATAAGACATTTTTGGACATTAAAATTTAAAGTTACTAAGACCATGAGGTCAAAAACCACATGTTCTATCTGCTCTATCAAAATCATAAGATGTTAAGAAAACTGCATCTGAAAAAGCCTGGGGTGTTGTGAAACTCAGAATTTTTAACATCAAATGTTTCAAAACTAGATATTGAGCAGACGGAACTTTCTCGAGAAGCAATATGTCAGGGGAGAATACTCAGCAGTATTTTAAATGAATAGGCTGAATGTCAGACTTTTGGCCTTTACAGATTGCTCACACTCGGTAGCACAAAATGTTTCATCATGCTTGTGTGTTTCACTGACCAGCCACAGCGTCCAATGGGTCGTCGATCCTCAGCTTGACCATAGCCCAGGAGGTGAAGTTAAAGAAGATTCCCGCCACCAGGCCGACCACGCATGCGCCCCACGGCCGGATCACGTTGCATCCGGCACAGATTGCAACCTGAAGGAAAATGAGAGACGACATAATATTTTACGACTGCATTGACACAATTTAGATCTTTCACAAAGGAATTTCGGTGAGCACAAGAAACGTGACATTGTGTAAGTTGTCAAAATCTTGTTTTATTGTAAAGCACCTAGAGCCACCACGGACTGGGCACTGTGGTAGTAGTAGTAGCAGCAGAAGCAGCAGCAGCACCAG